CCTCTTCGAGCCATTTTCAATGGATTTGTGATATATAAAAAAAAAGGGCGCTATAAAAAAACAATAAAAATAAGAGCGTCACCATCGACATCCACAGGGACAAAAAAAAACTTATCGTCCCCTAGGGGGCGCCACTGGCATTGTGGTGGTACGTGGGGCCAGCCCCAATATCAATTCGCAAACCCTGCAAACCCACACACGAGGCAGTTTTTTCATTTGGTGTTGTGAATATGAAGAAATGCAATTATATCAATCATATCATATCAACTAACAAGCACTGTTGTACGGCAATAAGCAATGCGGCGTATACGCGATGCTTGGCTTGGATATGACGCATACGCACTCCGTTCCACAACAAGCAAAATAAAATAAAATCATTCGCCGCAAAAGATGTGAATTAAAATATATAGATAAAAAAACAGTTCTAATTGGCTATACTTTTGCTAAAATATACATTTTACTTTGATTTGAGTAAATGTTTCGATTTGACCCACATATGAACGTTGGCATACACACATATTTATTTATATATATAATCGAATCGATTGGGCAAATATTATTCTGCCAACTGTTAAAATCTGGCTTTATTTCTCATCAAATTTCAACGTGGATTTTCTCCTATTTTTTGGTCGCTTGTGACGAAATGTTAAAGAGCGAGAGGATATAAATGAGAGGGAATCAAAGTCAAACAGCTGAGCTTGACTCAGTCTCGCTCGCTCTCTCGCTCTATCTCTCTCGCTCTCAATCAGGTGCTGCAGCAGTGCAAGCTCTCTTCTGTTATGCTCCACATAACAGTAGCGGGCTCTGTTAAAGGCAACAGACGACGACGACTACTCTCTGAGGGCAGCAGCAAATTTTTGCATTTTAGGTCAGGTCGCCAATCTATGCAGCGCGTCGCTGTCGACGTCCACTGCTGATGGCTGCAGCGACGCATGACTAGTTTTTTTTTCCTTCTTGCTCTTGCTGGCTTCTATTTTTTCTCTAATTTTTTTTTTCCTTTTCCCACTGCTTGCGTCGCCCGCTAACAGCGTATGATTTTTAATGGCAAGTTCAATGAACTTGCGATTTTTTTTTTTGCTTCCACATTTTGTTGTTGTATTTGAAGTTTTTTTTAGTATTACACGAAGAAGACGAACGCCAGAAAAAGAGAAATTAGGTTTTCTTATTGCTGTTTAAGTTGTGTGTTGTGTGTGTTTTGTGAGTGTTGCTTTACTGCTGATGCTTCTTCTTCTTCTTTGCTGCTATTGCTTCCATTACATCTACTTCTTCAGCTTCTTCTGCTTCTGCTTACCAGTTACCAGTTTTAAATGGACATCTGTAATTTTTGCGAATGATTTTTACATATATTTATAATATTAATATTGTAAGCATGAATTATTCCGTTTTTTGTTTTCTTCTTTGTAGCACTTGCCATGCAATTAATCAACTTTTTAATAGCTGTATGATATTGGTATTCACATGTCTTTCAATTTAGATAAAGATTACACACACACATAAATATATACATATTTTCTTCTTTTCCTCGATCCGGTTTGAGGCTCAGAGCAATCCTACTTAGCTCTGATCTCTCTCGCTTTCTCACTCTCTCTCTCTCTCTTTATTTCTCTCGATTTTCTTCTTGCTTCTGCCACTTTCTCTCTGTCGCTCTTGCTTCCTTTCAGGCACCACTCTTCTGTCTGTCTCTTTTACTTTCTCTGCCCTCTCTCTCTCTATCTGCAAATGTCTTCATTGCTTATCATCCTGTCGCTCAATTCATTGCAAAATATGCATTTTCCAAACAAAAGCTGATCTGATTAATTTCCTCTCTCTCTCTCTCTCAATCTGTCTGCCCTGCTATGCACTGTTTCTTTACGTATATTTCGTTACGTTACGTATTTGTACTAACCTTAAAGCGACTTATTTTCCGTTGCTTTATGACGGGCATTTCTTTAAAGTGTGCGGTTCGTGTCTTCGCTAGCCGCTGGTTTATCTGCTTCTGTTGTTGTCGCTCCTGCTTCTTCTTCCTCTTCTTTTTCTGCTGCTTCTTTTTGCACTTTGTGTTTAATGAGCGTTTCTTTGTTACACTTGCCACTGCCACTTAAGGCATACATTTGTTTCATTTACTTTCGGGCAAACAACACAACACAACACAACACGAAACATGCACTGTAAAAATCATATGTTGTTTAAATGTTTACACTGTTTTCACACACACACACACACACACACACACACACACATACACACACACACGCACAACAACAACGAGCTGAGACTCCATTGAAGCGTGGCAATCAACTGACAACAAATGTAATGAAAACAGTGAAAAACTGAATGCAGTTGAGAAAAATGGAAAAAGACATTCATTGTTGTTGTTGTTGTTGTATTTGTTGCTGCTGTTGCAACTTGGAAAATCGCATCTAGTAACTAGTACAAACACACACACAAGGCAGGACGCCAAAAGGAGCAAAAAAGAGAGTATGAGAATGAGCGAGAGAGAGAGAGAGAGAACGAAAGAGAGAGAGAGAGAGAGAGAGAGAGACCGACTTCGTTTAACGTTTAACATTTTCTGTTTTCAGTTTTTCTTGCCACACTTGCCGGTGTCTGTGCTGTGCCTCTTTGGCCCGATCTTCGTTAAATGTATTTCGCTGAGCTTTGTGCAACAAACCAAAAAAGAAAAACGAACGAAACTAAACGAACAAAATTCGCACAAAACTCGTAGTAGCAACAACAACAACACCAAATCGCGTTGCCAAGTCACCAAAAGCAACAACAATAACAGCAACAACTTTGCATAACAATAATAAACTGATTAACCACCAAAGCGAGTGCGAAACCAACGCCAAACAGCCGTTAACTAGCCGGCCCACACACTAACATAACATACACACACACACACACATCCAAAAGAGTAACAACAGCGAAAAAAAACACGCTGTTAAAATATGGCTGCCAACAGCGACGACGACCTACGACTACGAACAGCGCAAGCAAGCAGCAGACAGCAAAAATAGCAGGCAGCAAGCAGTGCGCACTGTTGTGCATAGTATTGGTCTTTGTTGCTGTTGTTGTTGTTTTTGTTATCTTTTCGCAACTCTGTTGTTAGCCGGCAAAAGGTTGCAACGTCACTGTTAGCTGTTGGTAACATGCAGAGACCGCTGCCGCCGCAGACGACGCTGCTGATAGGCGCTGGCCTATTAATCGTTCTCTGTAAAAATAGGCGGGAGTGGGGCGAGGAGGGAGTGTCTATGAGTATGAAAACACATTTTCAAAATTTACATGGCTGCAAATTTGCCTTGATTTGCAAATGAAGTGAAATAATTTTTAAACGCCTGTATGAGGCGCACAGCAATGTAGTAGCAGCAACAGCAGCAGCTACTTAGCATAACAGCGCTATGTTAGTAAACAGTGCACTGCTTGCAGGCACAGTGGAGCGACAACAGCGCACAAATACTATTAAATAATCAACATTGCCAACAAGAAGTGTTTTCTGATAAAAAGAGTATTCATATTGATCAACATTCAATATCCAATGTTAAATGATTGAGAATTAATGGAATTAACTTCAATATTCGAATACAAACATTTAAATTCATTAAATTCTACTTATTATATAATACTTATTATATATATATACTTATAATAATAGTTACATTTTTTATTCATACTTATTTGTTCGAATATCGTACAAATATATGTATAAGTGTAAAATCGTACAATTCAAAACGATAAATTGATTAAATTCAAATTGAATTAAATTTGTGTTCGATTCCAGATCAAGTCTTAACTTGAAAGAGTTGAATTTGCTATTCACCACGCACGCACTCTTAGTTCACCATACATGCAGATACACATACACATACAAGCAACGCCTTGCAAATTTCGACGTCGACGTCATCGACAACCGAAGCTGGCTTATCAGCTGTTCTTTTGCTTTCATTTCTTCAAACGGCAAACGTACAGAGATGTGGCAGGCCCAAAAGCCCAAACAGACCAGTCCAGCTCAGCGCAAGCGTGAAAGGGAGGGATATATGCTGTGCATGCATGTTTGTATGTATTTATGTGTGCATGTTTGTATATGGAAAGTGCGAATGATGATAGGTTGGCAGAGAGAGAAAAAGAGAGAGAGAGAGAAACAGGAGCAGAGTGGGTGGAGATGGGCTTGTGTGTGCGTGTGTGTGTGTGCTGTGCACTGAGGAATATTGTGTATTGAAATCCATACATGCATATGTATGTATGTATGTGCTATGTAATGCTTGGTATTTGCCACGGCTTGTCACGAGACGAAGATGTTGACAACAACAACAGCAACAACCACGAGAAGAGTGTGAGTGAAGCGGTTTATTCTTAAACATGCTATACATATGTACATACATACATATATACACACACACACACTTACATATGCACATATGTATTACCAGCTTTCTTTTGTACGCTAATTTATTTGCTTATGTTGCTCGTGTATTTTTCTTTTCATCTCGTTCGCTTTGTTCAACAAACTCTGCCCATGCACGCGGACAACAACTACAACTACACCAGCAAACAGCAGCAAAGAGTAGATGACGAAAAGCAAGAAGAAGATGAGGAGGAGGAGGAGGAAGCAGCAAAGGGCATACCAAACTATGGGAAAAGCATCTTCCATCTTCATTTTCTGCACAAACTCCCCAAACCTCCACTCCACACCGTCGCTCCCCTCTTCTCCTCTTTCTCTCCACCATTCCCATCCCAACGACAACAACAACAACAAAAACAGCAACACATTCACAAAGTTAAAGTTGTGTGTAGCTGACAATTCCAAAGTGCAATAACCGTTTGGCCTGCCTGGGTCTTAACCCATGTTAGGCCCCCGTCCATATAATTATCCCCAACACAAGCTTTTAAAATGCAGCCAGTTTTGTAATATTGATTTTATGCCTAAACAGATTTTCGCTTTAGCAGAAAACACTTTCAAAATGGGTACTCAAATATAATATCATATATATATATATATAATATATCATTTATATAGGAAAACTTACCCGGACACCGATGAAACGCGCCTCGAGCAGCTCCTGTTTGCGCGGATTCAGCGAGGTTTGAAAATGATCCATTTTGTTCTGTTCGCTTGGGCTTCGCAATTTTGTTTTTCCAATATTTTGTTTTTTCTAATTTTTCTTTTACGATTTTATAGTTTTTGTTAGTCTTTGTGTCTTTTGTTTTTCTTTGTTTTTTTTTATTTTTATTTTATTTTTTTTTTTTTTTCAATTATTGATATTATTTATTGTTGATTTGATTTGAATGCAATTGAATCGCCCGAGCTGATCGTCCACAGCAATAGCAACAACAATTGTCAACGCCATCGCGATTTTCTTGCACTTATTAGCTGAAATTTTGTACGGTTTTATCTTGTTAGCATCACTTTTCAAATTATATAGCGCTTCCGGGGCGGGGTAGGGGAGGGTAGCAATCGATATGTGTAATTAATGCATTTGTTGTCGTGTGTTTGTAAATTAATTTGTTTCTCTATAGATTTGCTTCAGATTCTTACTCACAGTATTTACCTTCAAATCTAAGAAAAACATGATATCTAAAAAAATCGGAAATAATTTAAGTTAAAAAAAAAACTTGTTATTAAGTAAAAAGATTTACACTGGTTGACGAACAAGTCAATTTGCTGTCAATCGTCGTTGCGTTGACAACACACTGCAAGCAACGCCAGTTGACACACGTGTGTCAACAGTTAACGTCACTTTTTGACGCGTTGACAAGCAAAAAAATTGACTTTCAGATGTTTTTTTTTGGGTTGACAAGTTTTACAATACAATAAATATAATCAGCAATCGACTATTACATAAATGTAATAGATAACAAACAAAATTACATGTTAACTAATATGTAAAATAAAAAATAAATATATATATAATTATATATTTATATACCTAATCTCATAATTTTGTTCTTTTTTTAAATTTAAATTTAAGAGTTGAAGTACTTTCAAATTCAATATGAATTATTTCAATTTGTATTTCAAATAAAAAATCGGCTACATTTATGTGAACGCCATGAAAAAATCTTATTGGCCTAGGTCACGACCAGTTCCCAAACACTAATACTACATCAATGTTGTACATTCGAGAGAGAGAGAGTGTGTATGTGTGTTATATATAAATATTTTTAATAAATATATGTATATATTTATATACATACAGACAATTGGCATGGAAAATCTTACGTTGAAAATGTGGTTTGAGTCGAGAGTTGCAGTTTCATGTTGCACAGCTGTTCCCAAATTGGTATACTCGGAAATCCAATTGGATAGTTGTGATGACCGGCAGTTTAGGGTTAATCGGCTGCAGTCCATACAAATGCAAATATAATCGAATGTTGCGCAAATGGCAAATTTGGCTTTGGGTTTGACGATTAAAGCCGGCTAAATATCTTCACACACACACATACACATCTCGATTTTCCCCTGTGTGTGAGCGCATAGCATTTATGCATACACACACACACACATACATGCATTTTCATGTACTTGTATGTACATCTCTCTTCTCGCTTTGCTCGCCGGTGTGTTTGTTTTTTTTTTTCTTTTTTGGTGATGACAAATTGTTTCACTTGCCGTTTACTTATTGCTTGTTGTTTTCATTTTTGTGTCGTCAAAAAAATTTGTGGGAATGGGCGGGGGCGGGGGTGTAGGTTGGTTAAAGAAGTACTGCAACAAACACTTTTTTTCACTCAAGTAGCTCGCTCTCTCTCGCTCTCTCTGCTTACTTTTCAGCCGCTTTGCTTTGCGTTTTTTTTCTTTTCTTTTTTTTTTTTGCAAACGCTGCGAGGTTAAGTTTGTCTTTTTGCTTTGCAGCTGCAATCCGTTGGTGCTGGAGAGGAGAGGGGAGGCAGCTTATTTGGCTAACCACGAAAACAAACCAAAAAAAAAATTATACGATTAGGGCAACAATTTGCAATTGCAGTAAGCACACGCACACAACAAAATGGCCTTTTTTGGCGTGGGGTTTTTATGTTGTTTTTGTCACAGTAAAAAAATTTTTTAGCAGAAGCTACACAAACGCGTCGCGTTGCGAAAATGTGCTAAAAAATGCGCTCAGCTGTGGAGAGAGCGATAGCTAATTATACATATCGATATGTCACGAACCTTCTCGTTACATTGTCGACTGTTATATTGAACATGCTCACACAACGAACACTTTTGAAATACTCAACGAAGACCGCTATAAATATGGGTTTTTCATTATAGCGCAGTTTGCAATGATAATAATTTAAAAATAAAAAACAGGCGCCAAATATGGTAATGCTCTCAAGTAATTATGTTTAAAATAAATATTGATTATGATTATGATTCAGAACTCTACACACAAGCAGCTTACTTAAAGGACTCCACAAAAGTATATCGATATATTAACGAAAGATGTGTTTCCACTGTGTGTTTCCACAACAGCGGTGTGTTCCCACATCACATAGATGTGCTTCCGCTTTAGCATTATATTAAACACCGTTATTACACAGGATACGCCAAATACAACTAATCTGTCGATTAATTATAATAAATAATAATCAACATTAATTCATCAAATTTGTATAGACAATGTTTGTTTATTTTCACATCCTTACAGCAGTAATCGATATGTATCGTAATCAACAGCTTTTAGAAGTTGATACATTTTAAGACTCCTGACATAAAATCTACTGGAGCGGAACCATTTCGATTCTTAAATAGTTTGTTTTACATAAATTTTAAATATTATAAGAAAATATTTTAAAAATAATGCATCTGAATTAATTGTTTAATTGTTTTTGTTAAAGTTTATAATAATATAGGATCTCCGTTTTCACAACCGATATTATAAGGAGCAATGGGGTGTGACCGTATACCGCAAAGCACAAAACCAGTATTTTTGCCTTTAATCAAATATTTTAATACTGCATCAGAGATTTTTACGTTAGTTCGATAGTATTGCATTAGTTGCATAATTTAAACGATGGTTATTTTAAGTTCAGATATGCGCAGTATTTAGCGATAGTTAGACATAAAATAATTGACCAACTTAAAATTGTTAGTTTCTGAGATTGTACAAGCCTAGTATAAAATCTAACTATAAAAAATACTTTCCAAACTTGTGTAAGAAAGATACCAGAAAATAATAGTTAACATTCGATGTGGCGCTTGCCGATAATCAAATAATCAAGTCCATATATCGATATTAAGCTATTATAAACATCGATATTATGCACGGTTGGCTGGCAGCGCTAGCGCAAATAGATATCGTTCACCACTAATTCCAATTCAGTTCATTTTCGGTTTTTGTGCGCATCGGAGTTACACATATATCAATTTTCGAGGCGTTCGACAAAAATTAAAAACTAATTTATTGTAAAAGAACGCGCTGCAGTCAACCCATATACATCTACATATATATATATACTTACATATATATATATATGTATATATGCAAGCTGCGGCAGACAAGCACAAACAACAAGAGGCGACCACAAAGTGATTACGAATTTTTGTATGTTTTCATTACATTGTCCTATGTACATATAAGAGTTTTTTTTCTCCTTTTTTTTCTCCTTTTTTTTCTTGTTTTAATATCAACTTGGTTGTTGTTATTATTGTTGTGCTGCTGCTGCTGGTTTCGTTGTTGCTGCTGTTGTTGTGATTTTTGTGTGTTTGTTGTGCAAAATGTGTTGCTCATGCAGAGAAATTGCGCGTGCAACTGTCTCATTTCATTGTTTTATCTACAAATTTTTTTATTGTATTTTTTTTTTGCGAACGCGTCATCGTTTAGATGAAATAATGCCAAAAAAGCGCTCGATTTGGATGGGTGTGTGTAACTGAGTGTGTGTATGTGTGTGTTGAGTGAGACTCTTGTAGTAATTGAATGAAAAGCTGCGCGTTAATTTTAATAAACAATTATTTGTAAAAGCCGCCAAAAGGCGAACGATCTCAGTTGGCAGCTTGGCAGCAGAAGCAGCAGCAGCAAAGAAAGTGCCTCTTTGTGTGTGTGTGTGTGCAAAGCACAGGCAAAAACAAGATGAAATATGTATGTGTGTGTGTTTGTTGTTGCTGCTGCAAAAGTGAAATTTCTACTCGGATTTCTTTATTATTTAAATTTGATTGTGCTACTTGTTTGCCATTCTTTGTGCATTGTTTGTTGTTGTTGTTGTTGTAGTCACTGTTACTGGCAACGCCTCTCTGCTCGGCTTCTACTTCTTCTTGATTTGTCATTCAAACATTGTTGCGGGCTTTTTATCAATGCTATCAGCGGAAACATTTGCCGCACCCCGCTTGACCTTATTCCGCTCAACTCAACTCATTCCACTCACTCACACATACATACTCTCTCTTACACTCTGCTCTCCTCTGTTCTCTTCTTAATTTTATTTTTTTAATGCACTGCAGCCTGCAGCCCGCCCTCTGTTGTCCATCAGCCGCATTTGTTTTTCGCGTCGCGTTGATGGTTGGTTGACTCATTCTCTCGCTTTGCGCATTCCACATCCATTTATTTTCTAAGCTTAGTGCTGCTCATGGCAACTCACTCTCTCTATCTCGCTCTCTCTCTCTCCACCCGCTCTTTGTGCGAAGGGTTTGGCAACTGCTCTCATTGCAACTCTCTCTCCCTCACTCGCGACTATCAACGCAACGTGCTTGGCCTGTGCTGCTGCTGCTCTGCTAATCATCACTAAATGCCAGATCATACATTTGCATATGTGTGTGTGTGTGTGTGTGTGTGCAATTTCATTTTTGTCACAAAACGTGACTTGCGTTTTATTTCTTTTGGTTTTGGGTATCATTTGAATTCTTATCGAAAATTTGCATTTTACAACCCGCAACTAGAATCGAACATATTGAATAATATATATGCATCTAAGTCGAAAATGTAAACGCTCATTTATAACGGAATCCGCTAAAAAAGAGAACAATTTAAAGAAAAACATTTTTGTGACGCTGCAATCAATTTACAACAATTAGTATTTCATCCCTAATTTAATAATTGTTGTTATTTTAAAAACAGCTATAACATAAAATCAATTTTCTAATAACTACTTAAAATTTGAATTTAATTTTTGAATACATTCGATACGAGAACAGGTTGAGTAAATTGATTAAATATAAAAAGAAAAAAGAAAATCAAATCATATATTGATGATGAGCGTGTGCAATGTGATAAATATTAGTAATTACCAAATTACTTATCGGCATTCGGCAAACTGCTGACAAACAAGTTCAAGTTCAGTGCATTTAGTGGCTCTTGACGTTATCTGAGGAATGTCGCACAACAAATTATCAGCTCCGATATGAATGCAGTATACATATATATATATTACTCATTATTGTCATCTTTTGTTGAGCTGGAAAACTACCTATGACAAGTAATTCACATCTGACAGAAATTTAAAAAAAAGAAGTCTATTATTGATTTTTAATTTCAGTGTGTGTGTGTTTTCTGCTCTTGTGTGTGTGTGTATGTGTGTGTGTGTTTTCTGCTCTTGTGTGTGTGTGTGTGTGTTTTGTTTGCCTTGGCTTCGATTTTTCGCTATTCAGGTCTCGTGATAAGCGCTAATTTTCGCTCTCCATTTTTTTTTTCTCTTTTCTTTCTTGACCAAAACTTAAATCTTGGCGAGTTCTAATTTTTCGCATCTGTTGCGTGTGTCTGTCTCGCTCGCGCTGCTCTTCAGAACGCTGGCCGTGACGTGAGAATGAATGTAAATGGCTGAATCAACAATAATGATTATTATCATAATAATTATAATGATGAGCATGACACCATTTTCTTCGCTCTTCTGCAGCAGCTGCTTGCTGCTGTAGTTTTTGTTGTTGTTTTAAGTAATCCATACTTTAGTGATCTATCATCAAAAGATTCTACAAAGTTTTCTTTACTGCTTTTTTTGTTGTTTTGTTTGTGTTTTGCTTGTTCTCCGTCCGTCTGTCGAAGCGCTTTTGAAGTCGAAGTCATTTTGGTGTGCGACGAACTGGCACTAGCCTAATTTATAGCCATCAAGCTGTGATTTGTGCCAATTTCTAGCTTGGCACTTTTTTTACTCGGACAGAAGAGCACCATTAATATAAATAGTAGGGTTACTTCAGACTTGAATAAGACAAAAAAAAGCAACAAGAAAATACACTTAACGTACTCTGCTTAACAAGAGGAGTTTGTTGTTGTATGAAAATGATTTAATCTGGACGGAGCGAAGCTATATTATACAAATTGTAAAAATAGGTAAGGGATAAGATTAGATATGATTCGGTGTGATTTCTACTATTGTATCAAGTACATTGTAGTTTTTCTCAGCTTTTTTCCCACAAGATCTTATCGGAACAGAGTTGCGTTCAGATCGTGTCAAGAAATCACTGGCAATAATATGCACACACATATATAAGTGTATACAACACACACACACTGTGCATATGCATAAATCTAAAGGAATTTATCTGCTTATCTGATCTTAACTCGCCGCTGCACATTATCATCATCATTTTGACTCTCGATTTAGCTCTCTCAGCTCTGAGTCTGCCTAGCTTTTAATTGTACTCGTTTCCTCCCCCCTCCTCCCTTGGGGTTACTTTGTTAGTTGGCTTGGCAACACTCTTCCCACGCCTTGACTGTGTGTGAAATTCGCTTCGTTATCTTTGCGGCGAAATTCCACTTGTTGGGGCCAATCACACACACATTTACTGACTACTCTACTCGCCTTGAACTTGGCCAACATGTGCGTAGAAAGTTGGGCGACATCGAAACCAGTTTTTTTTTCTTCATTGTATTATTTCTTTTGAGCAGTTCAAAGCTTTCAACTGGCAAGTGGAGTGATGCAAATGAATGATGAGCAGAGCAAGCGACAAATACGAGTAATTCAAAATGGCACATGAAATAAAAGCAAAAACAACAGCAACTTAATGTGAATTGAGCTTTCAAAAGCTGTTTAGCATAATTCGCATTGTTTTGTTGTTGTTGTTGTTGCTGGCGCTATCCCACTCGAAGCAGCCAAAGTCAACGGCAGCGCCGACGTCGCTGTTTTCGCAGCACGCGACTGCGCAGCCGGCGGCGAATTTGCCGAAAAGCATTGTCGTGAGTCACGGCATATAATCCAAACTCACACACACACACACACAGACAATTTGTTGCTATTGCTGTTAATACAGGTTCATCTTTTTCTCTAATTATCTCCTTGGAGTGGGTAATTTAATTTTGTCACGAGGCATGTAACGCATTAAAACAAATTAAGTATGACTCCATAATTTTTATTACGGAGTCAAAATTTGTCTCGTTTGATGACAAATGTAACTATATTTTTTGGTGTTTTTAATTAAAATATTCAATTAAAGTTAAGTAAACTGCTCGTCAGTTAGTGATATGTCAGCGAGGGTAGAACATCTTCGGCACATCAAAGATAACTGTTCTTTCTTGCTAATCTCTTCTTTTTTTTTGTGTACAACTTGATGAACACAGGCAAAAACTAAGCAGTTAACAGTTAACAAAACGCAAAGGCTATAAGAAAATAACGAAAGACAGACAAACATATTTGTTATTCTTCTTTTAGTTTCTTGTTCTTCGTAGAGCGTTGCTTTTTTTTTTTGTGTCAAATGTGCCCCAAATGCTATCTGAGAATTATGTATATGTATAAACATATGTATGTAAGTATAGTTGGTGCAGCGGCTAACGGTATTAGCAAGTGAGGACAAACGCAAATTGGAATGCAAAAAAAAATATGAAGAAAAAACCTGTAAGAACTTTTCAACGAAGCGTAACCGACTGAAGAATACTCTGTGACATTAGAACTGTGCTTAAATTGGAAATAATTTAATATGGTTTAATTTTAATAAGGATCATTTGTTGCCTTAGCAAATATCTGTTTTAAAGTGTTTTGACTTGCATTAATTAATTTTATTTGAAATAAAATTACTTAAGCACAACTAAATGAATGTGTAGAGAAAAGAGAGAAAGTTAATTCAAATTTTTACTTAAATTAGATAAGTAGCCGGACAAACACTGCTCAAAATACGTGGATTATTTTTGTCGGATTGGGAAAGAGAATAATTATTGAAGTTGTTTAGCCAGTTTTTAAATGTTGTATGTCTATAGGTCAAGCTAATAAAAAAAAAATACAAAATATGCCAAATGACGAGAACATCAGTGCTCGATGACATCAGAAATAAATAGAGTCTTAGCAACAGAAATATTCGATTTTCGTTTTAATTAAGCATTTTCATATCGAATGTATTTAAAGAGGTTCTCATATATCACACGCAAACTAAGAAATCGATAAGTATCGGTAATGCCGTTGTCATCGATTATTGCAGCATATACAAAAAAAGTCTTTGAAATTGAAATTGATACATTTATTTGTGATTTGATCCTTGTGCCCAAGCAGAAGTTTTTCCATTTGCAATTCACAATCCGAGTTTGTGTGTAGATATGAACAGACATATTTATACTGATGCTGTTGGCTGCCATTCCATCTTCCAGCTGCAGCTCAGTGCTAGGGGCCTACCCCTACATATGCCTATATG